ACGTAACAAGCGCACATATTGAACGTATTTGCCATTTATTCGAGCATTTAGTGATGTCAGGGATTGCCGTTATCTAGGCTCTTCAATATCATTGGGAGAATCCCATCAAGGGATCGTGCTTAATCATTAGGGAGGGAGAGGTGTGTTAAGAAGAGAGGAGTGGGTTCTGGTGTTGACAGAATTTTTGTAACCGCGAGAGAAATTCCTTGGCTGTGTTCTATAGCGGTTCCCCACGCCTTCTGCACCAATTTTCCGCAGGAACACTTAAAAAGTTTTTGTAAAAGTGGTAGGAGTAGAAAGTTGCGTAAATTTAGGAGCATTGTAGGAAAAAGTGAGGAAGAGGGATCATACTTAAGGAAGAAATATGGGGAAGGGGGCCGTCTGATACCGTCATTTCTCGTATCCCGATGCTCTACCCTGTGTACATAATGACACGTGACGGAGTCTGAGGGTGAAGTCACGGATAGGCTACTTCCTCTGCCAAAATATCCTCGCGCTCTTCCAGGGATGGCGTCACCTTCGTCTGAAAAGGTAGAACGAACGCACATGGGCCGCAGCAAGACACTGCATAAGCAAAGCTTCTTTACTAATTCTTTCTAATCTGACTGGAACAGTTAGTGTGGAACGAAGTTATGATACATTCACAACCATGTGATTTTGATCTCGGTTTTTTTTGCTTATTACATATAATTGGTGCAATTGAGTAGTCAACGAGAGGAGAGTGGCTCCAAACTGCTCCAGGTACCTAGTGAAGAGAGAAAATACCTTCTGATATGCTTTTGCAACTCGTGCCATCTGAACACCACGTCCGTCATGTCGTGCTGTTCCTGCACGTGTCTGACCTCAACCCCAGTGAACCCTATCAACCCCTGCTGGAGGTTCACAAGGATACCGGTGAAATGATTATCTACCGTTGTTTCAGCAAGCTTAAGGAGGGCGACTTCCCCATCCAAGATAGGTCTCGTCGCCCAGTGAGGTCGGGTTTGGACTTGCTAGGGAACCTGTCAATTCCTAGCCTGTCATGATGTTTCCCACAAAACCGTTAGCCGGCAAGTTCCAAAACTTAGGCAGTAGTATCCCACGCATTGACGCAATACGATGTGAATCGTTGGTAGACATGGCGCTGACCTTCTCACTTCCAAGCACAGACATGCGTAGCACGTCATTCTTGACGCTAGGGGGGGGGGAGGAGGGAGAAGTGCATACTCTGCTATGAGGTGCACCACCGTACTGAGTGGATCGACGAAGCAGGAAAGGCAGAAGCCGTTCGGAAACCCTACGTTCACGGAAAAATGATGCTGCGCGTTCGAAACTTGGAAATGGGAGCTGCTGGACGAGGGTATGACAGTGGCGGACCACGTCTACATTACTCAGCTACAAAAGCCGGAGGTTCACTTCGGAAGTGATCGTGGATAACTTACCAGTTTACTCCCACAACGACAACGTCAGAACACTCATTTCAAGAACGAAAGAATGAGCTGACGACGTAAGGTGAATCTCGTGTAACTATGTAACATGTAACTACACCATGCAAGGGGAGTTTTTCATCATTCGTTGTGCTCACTGTGAGAAGCTGTTTTGCTTTAACCCATTCTTGGAAGAACACCGCATGTGCTCTTCAGTAGCTGTAGTTGGACTCATTCATGTACCATCTGAAACCAGCTAATTTTTCAAGAACTCTCGAAACTGAAGCACAAGTGACGAAGTGCCGGCATTTGACTCTATCCCTTCCGCAAACGAGAACAGTCTGCAAAAATAGCGGAATAGCTGTTCTTTCTGGACTCACAGAGGATGCTTCGGAAAAATGCACAAATGCAAGCCTGCGAAGGAATCGAACCACTGAGCTCTCATCTATGGAGCAAATTACCTATCCACTACACCATCGACCGCTTATCACTACTGACTTTCGAACTTAACTTGAGCTAGCATAAAGAGTATTCGGCAGGTAGTGTGCTAGAAACCCCCCCCCAACTCCTCCTAGAGAATCGTTCCGCAAATTCTGAAAGCAGATTTGAGTTCAGTTCCCCGAGACACACACGCCAATGTGCATCCCATCCTGAATGGCCACGGCGACCTGTTGACCTTTCCTGGTTAGCTGAGCATCATTTACCTCCAACTACCTACAGTCGTCATTCGGGCAGTTGATTAGTAGGTCAAAGGGTCGCAGACGCGGCTGCGGCGCGTCACGACCGCGGCGATCAGCTTTTTCCCCGCCCATTTTATCCCTAATTTCCACCGTACTATTTATTGTTTTTGTAAGTTGTTCTTTTTGTCTTTATGAAGTATATTAGGACGTGGATTCTTTTTTGTTCTTGTAATGAAGTGTTTTTGCTACTCTGTTTGCGTATTTGTTTAATTGTTTGTTCAATCTTTAATTGTTCGCATTAGTGTAAACAGTCATGTTCATATTGTGGAGAAAAGGAACAACCAAGGCAGTGTTCAGACTTTGCGACGGCAGCGCTTCGGTCACTCATTCGGCGCGATCGATGCGCATGCTTCCGACTGCATCGATCGCGTCGAACGCGCGGTAGAGGCGCAGCCGTCGCGAAGTCTGAACGCTTCCTAACCATAACAAAAGCAGCCAAAACAGTGAAAATTAGGGAGAAAATGGCTAAATAGGCTGGAAAACAGCTGATCGCCGCGGTTGTGGTGCGCCGCAGCCGCGTCTGCGACCCTTTGACCGCCTAATCAACTGCCCGAATGACGACTTTACTCATTGTGCTCATTTCTTTATTCACTGCGTTGGATAACCTTGAAAAAAATCCTGAAGCTCCTAAAAGCTTCCTGTTGTATAGTGCAGATTTGAGCGATCTCGAATGGCAATGTACCTCATTAGCTCGCTGCAATTTGTGGCTACTACGTCAATTTTCAGACATGCTGTTCAAGATGCTCATTTTTACATGATTGCCTGCTAGGACTGCCTGAACGAGGCTGCACAAACGACCTTTAGGGGATCGGTGGTCGGTCACGTTCTCTCTACCCATGGCGCAGATTCAGATCACTCTAACGAGGCTCATTTGATTTCAAGAGTAACAAAACACTGACAGCTCTATGACTCGCTATTATTATCCTCAACCATACTGAATAGGTCCCTCGGAACAGTTATCACAGGAGTGCTGAGTTGTGGGCAAACTCGGACCGCGGACGGGATTCGAACCCGCATATACCGCTTGCAGGGCTGCTGCGTTTCCGTTTTTCCCACATTTTCAACGAACCGGTGACTCCTAGCTTACCCTAGCCACTTTTTTCAGTGTCTAAATGCTCTGTAACGTTCTACATTTTTTAAAGGCACTTTCCGCGATAAACTAAGGCCATAGGCTTTAAAATGTGCCAAATGATCCCTCAGGCGATTGTAGGGGCTGTGGCACACCTAAAAACTCAAAAACTGCAGGATTTCGCGGGGAACCCTGCCATTTAGGCCCATTGGCGCCCCCTTACGCCCAAGACGGCCTCCAGAGGCCCATGTCCGTTGTGACGACGCGAAGGTGGCGACGGCGAAATCCCGCGCAATTGTCGCTTGGAGCCTTGTTGCGCGAAATGCGATCAATACCCGATCAGCTGTCAAACAACTCCATTTTTTTATCTTCTTTCCTCTCTTCTCTGTGTACCATTTCCTGCGTTGCGGTTCTCCGAGCAATGTTTTATTGCTATATCATGTATATATTATGTATAAAAAGAACAAATCATCAAATCTCAAATATCTTTCACGTTTTTTGTCGTGCCTTGCTTCGAGTAGTTTATTAGCAAAACATTTTTAATTTCAGAAAGATTCAGACAGCGCTGTATGAGTCGCACATCCTACCCAGACATGCAGCTACGGTAAAGATTGTCGTTTCGCTCATGAAAACGATGAGGTTCGTTTTCATGCTCAGGTAATGATTTGTGCAATTATGATCAAGGACAGGATTATACTTGCTTTAACCTCGCGGTCGTAGTCATTCCATAAAATTTACTTTTGTGAAAATTCTTGAATACTAGATGCTGTAAATATAGAGCTAGGTTTGTTGGTTTTTGTCTTTTTTGTTCTTGCTAGTCAGGGCTCGTTTGTACCGTAGCTCTCAGCGAACGGTTAGGCGTGTCAGCACGTCTCCTTTTTGCGCGGCTCCAAGCCCGTTTTTCACCACTTTACGAAGCGAACAAATGATATGACTATATCATATGAATCATATTACTCGTTTTCTTCTATGTTTTGCCGCACGCGCGCTTGAACAAGAAGGTGAATAGCGGCTTTGGTGCTGTGCAAACTTGATCTATTCGCATGCTAAATCGCTACCTATGCTATCCTCTTCGCTGGCGTATCCTTGAAACGCTGGTGAACGTCGATGGTCGGTGGTGGACGTGTCTCAGAGTATGAGCGTAACATATCATCCATCTACTTGTATTGCAGTGATAGGATTTATCATGCATCTACTTGTACTGCAGTAATAGGATATCTCCTCCGCTTGATGTATGTCCAGTAAGTAGCGAGTCCTCAACATCACCAGTTAGAATTCCTCGGAAAAGTGCTGGTGCTGCTCACGCAGACAAAAAAGGTGACAAAAAGGTACTCTGTCTGGGTAGATTCGTTTTTGTCAGCTGTCTTCTCTTTTCAGCAAAAAAGAAAGTTCCAAGCCGCATTACAATATGGATGGTTTTACAAGCGACCCTTTCTATGAAACACGTAAGTGTAATGTTTGTTGCTTGGGTTTTTTTTTTGTTTTCTGGGCGAAAGGCTCATATAACGCTTTGAGGAATCCTTCAACATGGGTAACCGTTTAATAATGCTTGCTGCCATGCAAAGCATGATTTATACCACGAGCACGTGAGTCCTTATTGCCTCTTGAGGTTTAGTGTGCGGAGGGGCAATGGTCCTTATTATGTTTGTGTTGATATCACATTATATTCATGGTCAAGAACAGAATACTGATGCAGTGTTTATTTTTTTTTTCTGTTTTGTGTGTTGTGGGAGTTCCTTATTGCAACGATACTCTGTGGTAATCCGGACCAAGTTTCTGCTGTTGTGGCGCTGGGAAATTCTGTAGATCGCTACCATAAGAGCTACGAGGCTAGTTCTTACTTTTTATTACTGCTTGCCAGGTCTGTTGCTGTCGTGTTCGCTGCGGATGACGGGGCCTATCAGCGCTGCTGCGTTTGGCGCGCCTCCAATTCGCTTTCTACCAGTTGATGAAACCGATAGGCGCCAAAAAATGATCGAACGCGACTGATACGACCGACACTTTCTTTCCTTGCCCAAGAAAAAAGTAACGAGTCGCCGCCGCGCCAAACGCAGCCATGCGGCACACCCTATCATCCACAACAAACACGACTGTACCAAGATCGCGAATTTCGGAAGATTGTAGTATGCAACGCGTATCGTATAAGCTAATCGCTGAATATGAAGAATGGCGAGGACGTGCTAGCTTCGGAGGGATGATAGTCAACCCAGCACAATCGCTCTTTGAAGTAGCCGAATGTCGTTCCTCAATGTCATTTCTCAGCTCACAGTATTTATAGATTATTTTTATCATGATTCTGAGACAATTACTGCTGTGTGTGTATTTTTTTCAACCCATGTGATATTGTAGTGTTGCTTTTCAGGCTGATACAAGCCTTTCACCACCACGAACTGATAAAGCAGGATTTCGTATTCCCAAAAAACACATCGCCGCCACTTCTCGCGATCGAATAGCTAGGTTTGTGGTTTTCATCAGTATGATTCCTTATGAATTGCCATTCCATGAGTTCCTTGCAGCAGCGCTCATGGGACTAGTGATGGCGGACGAGATCAATCGTTTTCTAAGAAGTCTCATGCAAACCCACCTCCCTCAAAGGTATCTGTTGCTGTGCTGCTACTTTAATTTTTGTTAACATTGTGATTGATGACATTATCAGCTTTAAATCAAATAATCTTCTCATAGAGTTCTAATTCTGTCCACAGTATTATGATCTTTCAGATCGAAAGAGGTCCACATATCATTGATTGGTCGTGGCTCTAGTGAATGTGAATAGGCAGCCAGGAGATGATCGGAATGAAAGAAATTTTTGTTTGTTTTCCTTTCCATATGTGTGTTTATATGTAAAGCTAATGTGACTTCTAGAGGTAAGTATCCCACTTAGCCTCACTGAGACCTTCTCAAAGGTTGTCATTCAGGATGTTCTTCCATGATATCCCGAACCGCCCACTGACCGAGCTGGATTTAATCGAACTGGCTATCCTTGATTTGGATGTGATTCTTGCCACGAAAGGTTGGCAGGCTGATGTATATGGCAACGTGATGTATATGGCCCGCGCTAACGACCAATATTCTCCGATCAAATATGACTACTCCATGTAGCGCTATTTTACGTAAAGGGACCATATCGAGGTCTCCCCGAGAAATCCTCCTCCTGGAGGGAAGGGTCGTAGTGTCACTAACATTCCCACATCTCTCGCCATAAGCATTAACAAGGTTGCCCAACAAACTGGGCATTTGAAACCTTGCGCACCAACAGTCTGCCGACATCTGGAAACGATTGAATTGCCTTAGATGGTCTCTTGCGCTTACCGGCGACGGCGGCTGTCAGGACTTTACTGTGACGGTGGAAGAAGAGGAGGGTGCGCACTGCACATACTCATGAAGAAGATTTCATGTTGCTCAGCGACGTAAGCTCGAATGGTACGTGTCCATCAGTGCGCGTGGTGATTTGGGGATCCCCAGAGAGAGAAGCTGTACTTGGTGGTTGGAATGAGGAGTTCCCATCAAAGGAGGATGTTCTGAGGGGTAGGGGGATATAGAAGGTTGATTCACCCAGTCTCGGCATGGTTCCGTATCGCCCATTCCCCAACTACCTTGGCCCTTAGGAATTATTTGGAGGGTTTTTTGTTCTCACTAACTTCTTCGCAATATTATACAAAAATATACAGTTGTACTATAACACAATACAATACACTAATATAGTTGAAATTTTATTGCCTTCTTCAATTCAATCTTCGAGACTGAACGGAATAAAACTAATGTATCGATTACATTTTAGCTACACAATACTAATACAAAAATATGTAAACGAGTAGATGAAAGATCAAAAACACAAAATGTGAACGGATAGGGAAGAAGGGAAGAGTGATCGGTGAGTCAGCGTTACATAGACGATCATCGAAAGGCTAGCTAACATTTTGACTCAAAAGAAAGAAAAAGCTGCCAACACAGACAGCTAGCAATAGATTCTTTGGACATAGTAGAACACACACAGAGGATATTTCCAAGAACTACCGGCGCGAGAAGCATGGTGACAACTTCTCAATCAAATCTTCGATACTTTTCTTGATAAAAGCAACGTCAGGTGTGAAACTGCTCCTAGTCTGCTCGACAACCTGAATTGGAAAGTGAAGCCGTAATGAAACCCAAGTCAAACTGTATCTTTTACTTACCTCGCTAATCAAGGCGTTGTGCTTGAGAAGCCTTTCGGGTTTTCATGATACGTACAACAGCTCATTCCATGTACTATTTACGGTCATGTGTTACCTGAAGACAAATACGAAAAAAAATGAAAAAAATATGACGTATGAAACAGCTGATGAGATTGGAACTGAAACATTGCCAAATTAGTCCATTACCAAACATTTCACACTTACAATTATTTCACTCACCCATAAGTCGCATCTTCCAGGAAACCATCGCTCGGGAATTCTTGTGGCATATATCGCGGCGCCGGCGATGTACATGAAACCCATGAGAAGCATCCACACTAACGATGCCTAAATTAAATAATTTCTGTAAATGTAATTTCTGGTAAATGTCATGCATAATCACAAAGGAATTCCCACCAAGACACACCTTTTGGTAAAGAAATTCCAGTCCATCAACAAATAGCAAATGAGCAGCGGGGAACACCGCTGAAAGTCCCATAGCAACGAAGATGGTCGCTCGTACTGGTCTAAGAATTCTTGGTAAACTAATCTCTTTCATGAAATGTTAAAATGTAGCAAACCTGAATGCTGGTTGCGCAAATTTGTCCCATAGTGAGACAATCATTGCTAGCAGTCCTAACACGCTGATCATCGTGATGTAAATCACCATCGGCTGCGGGCGGCAGTAAAACGCATAATAAAGCCATGGTATGAACGATCCAACAATTAATAGCGCGATTCCAGCATAGTCCAGTCTGAAAACCTCAAAGTTCTCTAGTTCCGATACCAAGAAATAACTTTGGGCCGCGTTCATAGTTCCCGGTGAGCAGAAGCGGGATTACGGACAATCCGTGATCGTATTTTGATCTTTCGCTATCTAATGGCGAGAAAAAAACCACCCTAAATATTGCCATTCAGAGCAATGGGGAAAGGGAGTGTGCAATAATTCTAGAAGCAATCTTTTCACAACTTCGACTGAGGACTCACCATACATGTGAGTCCAGATATTGCCAGTTTCTGTATGGAGAGCGAAGATGCTCTTGAAGCAACTGCTGAACGACGGAAGTGGTGGACGGTGACCTGCAGTACGTGAGGGTTCACTAGGGAGAAAGGGTATTTGAAGAAACTGTTTTCACAAAGTCACAACCAAGCATAGGCTAACCAGAAAACTTCATAATAACCCAGCAAGAACCGACCTGTTCTCAAGTATTCGTTGTCTTGCCCGGAAGATATTCAAAATTTGTAGCTTTCCATCTCGCTTCCCAAAACTGAAAAAAATATTTTAAAAGGATTAGCGCCATCAGAGCACCTCTGTATCGCTCTGAACTAGCCCTTTTAATGATCGTTCTTGCTCCTTTGCCAGATTCACCAGGCACCACAACTTCTTCTTCATTGATTTCAACCTGAGAACAGAATCCTGTTTATCTTCTAGTTTTTTACAAAATAATGAAACTGAAAAACCTCCAGTTCGTTGTCATCTTCATCAGGGGTGGCATCCCACTTAGATCGAATCTCAGCGCGGTCGCCGCGAGCCTATCTTTGTTCTCCTCATCAAAGGTATTAACTGATAGTGCAAAGCAAGACTGACTCGGAAAACTACTTACAATTACTCAGCCGATAATGAAACTAGTACTCACCTTGAAGGAGTCCTTGTTTTGAAAGCATAAAAGCTCAGACATTTGGTGAACGCTCATCGATACTAGGTAAGGTTTATCCAAATAGATCAGCCGCAGTTCACCTAGAATATCCGCCTTGAGCGATAAATAGCTAGCTCTTCAATGCGCATGCGCAAACTTCAATTCCAATCAATTGCAGAGAAAAACAAAAGAAGAAAAAACTTAGGAAGACAAAAAAAGGGAGGGAGGGAGAACAAGGAAGAAGGTGGCGTGTAATTGAGAATAACGCCAACGCGATCAGCTGTTGGCAACCGGCCACCATTTCAGCACCGCGCGAAAAACTCGTCCGGACCCCGCCCCTTCGTCGTTCTTTGCTCGTCCAGCCCCGGTTTGGAAAAGAGCCCCATAAAGGGCATCCCCACTATTTTTCTTCGCTTTTTCTTTCCTTAATGAGTAATTTCCTCCGTTCCAAATATTGTTTTAGATGCCTCAGTCCCCATACGTGGTTCCAATTTGTGCCTTTAAAACACTCGCCGTCCGTTGGAAAAAGGACAGCTTAGCGGATGAAAAACTTTCGATGGTAATAACATCGATATCATAGTGAAATATCCTCACATTTCTCACATCCTAGTACTTCCGTTGAGCAGCTTCCAGGGCTTTTAATTTTCGTCGAAACTCGAGAGCTTAGCGGTCGAATCAGTCCTAACCATATCACTAAGTGGTAGAATACTTGATTACCGAACCTCTGATCATTATTTCTTGGGCACTGGTGCTGAAGTTCAGGCTGAGCAGAGCAAGGATGCGAACAGATATTGATCCCTATCGAACTCTTCTCAACACTGTAACACTTATATTCGCTTCAGCGTTTAACACCCTCTGAATGACTTGATGCTGGAAGCAGTTTCGCACAACACCCGTGCCAATGACCTTCGGGGGCACCCACCGAAGGTATAGCACGAGTTTAAGAAGGACCTCTGTACGCATATCAAAGCTGTTATCACGTCCTGCCACCCACCAATAATGTTCCCATCCTGTCCCCTATACTTAACTTCTTGGGACTAACATCCCGTCGTCGCTGTGGTCCGCGCTATGAAGTTGGTGGCCCTTTCCTTTTAAGGCCCCTTGTGGTATCTTATCAGCGGTTTACCACGTATCATACCCCAATAATGCTCCATCCCTGCCCCCTGTCTAACTTCTTGAACTCCCACGTCTCATCGCTGCTGTGGCCGGTGTTGTGAATTAGGTAACCCTTCCTTTGTGAGGCCAAAGAAAAGAAAAACGACAAATAGGCAAAACATGTCTGAGAAGGCTGGTTCGACTCATCAAAGTGCTAGTGAATTCGAAGCAAGACCGTGCCTCTTCCTTCTCCCTACCTTTGCCTGCCATTCCCAGGCTTCAAACTTGCTTCACAGCCTTATCATATCGTCATTGCTCACAAATACGTTCCACATCGCTGGGGCCTAACGTAGTATGTCTCATTTTGAATTCGTCTGGGAACGAGCCGGTCGCCGAAATGAAACTTCTGAAGATAATTCTGCTCTTGTTCCTGTTGGCCGTCGTCCCAATATTAACAGTGAGTAAGAGCAGCAGTAATTCATTCACTTCAACTCTTTCGACAACAATCAACTAGAAGTAGTCATCTACACGGTAAATTGAAGCGATCTATGGTGTTTTCAGCATCACGAGAAGGAGATGAAGCAATGTGCGAAAGGATGTGCGGAAGAAAAAAAGAGGCGGCCCGATCCAAAAGTGCAGGCAATCGACTGCTCCAAAGCTTGCGATGAACTTCACAAGTTTCTGGACGCAGAGGAAGCTCGTGAGAAAAAGAAGTAGCTGCGCTTTGGTTTTGTTGTTGCGGCAATAAATGTTCGTTGTTACAAACTGTAAGGCTTCCTAGAGGTGTTCGAACAATGCGCGTTGCACTGAAACAGTCCACATGAAACAGGGTATGTATGTGACAAGAGGATCGTAATTCGCCGCGCTGCTGGGCGTCGCGTGCGACGTCTCGTCTGCAAAGGACGATGGTTCCAGGTAGTAGATGGCGACAACATGCAATTAAGGACCCGAAACAGTAATGACTGTCTACGATGACGGGGTCTACATGAAGTCCGGTGCTCCATTCGACAGTTAAAAGGAGTTATGAAAACGCCGCGCCCATCGCCGCGCGTGGCGGTGCGGCGAATTACGATCCTCTTAACCGTCTTCCCATAAAACATATGAAGGCTGATTGCAAGGGTCCATTTCGGGCACTCCGGAGTACAAGCACCGTTACTGCATATTCTGTACAGCATCGATAGTCTACACTGAGCGAAGTCGAGTGGCAGCAGGAGGGATAACCCGGATCGCTGTTCATCCTATCAAAGACAAATCTCCAAGGACGGTCTTTGTCATGTGCTAGGCGAGTGATATCAAGGTTCGGCAGCTGCATTGTACGCTTTCATCGCGCTGCGAAAAAAGTACGGGAACGGGGCTGGAAAATAGCAGTACCCTCCTGCTGTCTTCGTACTCCACCCGCCCCATCTCAATGTGCAGCGCTTGCGTTGACACCTACATCACGCAGCAAAACAAGCACTCAGCGCTAGAGAACAATCAGAAGTGAGAGAATGCAAGCCGTGCTTGGCCACGATTAGGCGCGTGGTTGGGTGCACGGCAGCGCGGGTGCAGTGTAGCGACGGCACCCGGTCAGCACTAATCTCCAGCTCCGTTCCCGTGCAATTTGAAGGAAAGAAAGTGGCACCCTACTAAGCTGCGGAATCGTTTACCTCCAACATGGGAACGACCAGGGCCACAGAAAGTGAAAGCACAGTTGATCTCTGGAGAGGAATAGATAATTTCAAAACGATCGATAATGCCATTCAGGAGCGATTTGCAGGCTCGCTGTAGTTAGTGGGGGGGGGGGGGAAGTAAGTGAAGCAGGGCCGCATATCTAGATTCTCAACGAGTGGGGTTGTATTGACCCGTTGTTGGTGAGCCCTAATGTGATCTGGCGTTTTAAATTTGGGAATACCATTGAAGATTGCTAACCGTCGCGAGGTTGATGTTCCTGCCGCCCCCCCCCCCCTCCCCTTTGTTCGACAAGTTTTCACTGGGACAGTGTTGGTAAAGCGAAGTATGGAACAGATCAAGTTGGACCTTCAAGGAGTGGTTTTCGTTTTCGATGTTGATGAGAGGGGTCGGACTATGGCGAGTGCATTCCTATCCCTGTGATGCATTCCTATCCGCCTGAGAAATTTCCTTGCAGCGCTCGTTTAATGACAATGACAGCTAATTGACATCAAGTGAAGGCAAATGAACGGCAGGCGCCCCAAAAGGCGCCTTTTCCTTTTCCATCGAAGGTACCTTTATAGTCCTCAAGCTATAATATGCCGGCCGGATCGCCCATCGTAACCGCTCACCCGCAGTTGGCCACACATTTACATCGATGCTGGCACTCTTATCGCTTCATCTAGGAAGCAAAATTGATATGAAGCGTTTCGACATGGAAACATGAAACATATGAGCAGCCGTAATTATCAAAGCGGTTGTTGGCACGATGTCAACAGGAAACTCGTCCAAAATGCTCGTCCAATGCCGTGCAGGACAGAAGTTTTTTTACAGGTTTCTACCGTTTATCTTCCCTTTTTTGTCATTTCTCCCACCATACAACACCCTTGCTCCTATTTTTGAGCAAGTACCGAATTATCATGCATTATTGCTTTAAGCGTTTCAGCGCATAAAAGTTGAAAGACCATTGAGCGATGGGTATTTTTGTAGTGAAAAACTAGTGCAACCAGAAATAAAAGTGTAAAATGTGCGGGAGTAATAGCTGCTTCCGCTGCAGACGACGGGGTGTCATTGGAAGGTTGTTGGCACGATGCCAATGGAAATCTCGTCCAAAAATGCTCGTCCAATGCCGTGCAGAACAAAGGTTTTTCGCAGGTTTCCGGCCGTATACGTTCGCTTTTGTTGTCATTTTCCACTATACAACAACGGGAAACTCGTCCAAAAGGCCGCGGCGTCACTCAGTTTTCCATAAACCGTTGTCGCTTGCCCGCTTCAACAACTGGTGGAGAAC